GTTTTGTTTAAATATGGGTCTGCTCAAATCAGATACAAACCAGTAAGTGGGTACTTTGATTTTTAAAAAGGAGGACTAAAGGAATGGGGAACAAAATCCCTTCCCTGCCCAGCTGTGCTCTGTTCTGGAGCTTGGCTGGAGTGAAGGAAAATATTTGGGTGTTGCCCTGCAGGAAGACAAGCTGTGGGAATGTGCTCAACACCCATTTGCTTCCAAAATTGGATGCATAACCCCAATATAAATGATTTAAAGAAATGAGGTCCCTTCCAGGGCATCTAGTTTCAGCCAGGTTTAACCTGACATCATTTAGGAAAACTTGCCACTAGAGGGCGCTGTGATACATCCTTTAAAATATTGTCATTCATCCAAAGATGTATCTAGAGATGGAACTTTGCTACTGTTTCAAAATGACTAAACTGTTAAAGGATATTTTAAGAGGTGACAATAGATTCCACCTATTAAAAATTGCTTATATATTCTGTGTACACTGGGTGAACTATCCCATATCCCACCCCTCTTGGCTCTCACAAGTGCAAAGCCTTGACCATACTGGAAGTGGGAATGTTTGATAATAGTGTTTATCTTTCTGAACTTGTTTTATAAGCCCAAAATAATAACAATTTTACTGTGATGGTATTTCATAAGTTTCCGTAACAAAACATTCTTTGTCTAACACTTTAAAAATACTCAAAAATATTACTGTTCAGATAAGATCTATCACCGTAGACTTGTCCCAAGGGGTGGGTGGGATCTACTGTATAGCAGGGGTGGCCAGACTTGCTCAACAAGACAGCCATATAAGGTAAATGTTAGATGTTTGACAGCTGCAAGTGAGTGTCTGTGGCAAACAGGTGTTCATGGCCAGTGGCAAGGGCAGCAAGTGGCAAGGGCATCTGCAGACAGTGGCTGTGGGTGGCAAGCAGCAAGTGGACACCCATAGGTGTCCATGGATGGTGAGCTACAAGCTTAAAAATAAACCCAAAGAGCTGCATGTGGTTCCTGAGCCTTGGTTTGGCCACCCCTGCTGTATAGGAATCTTATTTACATTTTCAAATACATGTGCAGAGCTTACATTTTAGTGATATTTAACACCACTGGAAACTTCTAGGTTGTATCATCAATATAATGAATTGATATTTTAGCAGTGAAGATGACATTGTAATTTGTATTTACATTTTGGTCTTCCCCAGTTTGTTTGTAATGGAGGAAAAAACTCGGTGAACAATATTGGTCATACAGAGAACATACATACATGCCAAAAAGGCTGAAAAACACTTTAAAAACATTAAATAGAGCTAATTGAACTTGTTGGTTAGGAGGACAGACTTGAAAAAGTACCTAAATGGAAATTAATGACATTCTGTGGACATTGGGCTCATGAAGTTTTACAATACTTATTTTACTAAAAGCCAACATAATTTTAGAGAAGGTGGAAGAAAAAAAATCTAAATAGAGAGCTGTTAATGGGAAACTGGGAGAAAAATGTATAAATATGGGTATCTCATTATTAAATCTAAAGATTTTAATCAGATTTTTTCTTAAAATCATTAATATTTCAAAGCACTTTATTTGACATGTATGTATACTCAAGGTCATATGATTTGTGTCTCTTACATGGTGATAAATATGATAACTTTCTGACTATAGTATATTGCAGCATCTGTATTAACTCAAGGATCTTTAAGGTATACCCTTTTCAGGCTGAAGGCAAGAGCACTGGGCACTGTATTCCAACTAGCAGACACAGTCATCCCCCACAGTGTGTGGGGCCAGACCCCACTGCTGGCACGTGGCTTCACACATTATCCTTTTCCTGCTGGAGTCAGGCATTTAAAAAGTGTGATTGCAGCATGACTGGAGTGAGGTTTTGGTAATGGAAGAGAAAAGTTAGTCCTTCCCTTCCCTGCAGCTGTCCCACTGCAAAATGCTGTGGGTAGACTTAATGGAGTCTTCATAGGCATAAATGAAGCCTTATTGCATCTGTTGTTTCCTTCCTTCTTTTCACTCCTTTAGTATTGAAACTTACATTGTAAGCTTCCTGAGGCAGACCTACTTTTTAGAGTAATCTGTTACTACATATACCGATAGTGTGTTATATCCATTCTTGCCTGGAGATATGCAATATTCATTTAATTACTTTTATTGCTCACTTCAACAGTTTTTCTTACTGCTTTGCCATTTGAAGAAAAATAATTATTAAAAGTTAAAGCAAAAGATGGAGGTTGCTTTGTACCTAACCCCAAATGCACTTATTTTAAAATTTCTTTCTGTTTCTGTTCCAAAGGAGGAATGTTCCCAGGCTCTCTTAGCTCTGGTTGCCAGCTGGCTCAGCACCTTTCAAACAGATACTCCTTTACTATTTCCAGGGCCTGGCAATCAACACATCCTTCTTCAATGAGCTGTCCTTTAGTAATATCTGTTTAACAATTTTTTAATATTTAATGGTATGGTTCCATGCCAGCCATTGAACAGGGGAAGAAATGAATAACTTGTTGAGCTTTCCAAAAATGCCCTGATATTCTGTGGACTTCTGTGAAATGGCATTTTCTTCATGCAGCACCCCACTCCCATCACTATCACCACAGCTGTTACTTTGTAATGAAAAAATGAATGCAATAATGTCAGTTTGTTTTGGGGTTTTAGTACTAACATACTAGATGAAATATTTAATTGCAAATCAAGTTTTTAAAAAGTCTGAAGAGGAAGATTTATGTAATGTGCATTATAGCCAAAGATAGAATGTTGGATGCATTTAAAATACAGCAAATGCTGGTAATGGAATATGCTGTCTTCAATTTTCAAGAAGGGAGAACTTAGAATGTTGAGTTCCTTTACTGAAAATTGCAGCGATTTGCCAAGCTGGCTAAAACTAAAGTGGATAGTGAGTGATTTCAATATTTTCCTTTAGAAATATTGATATTTTTCATCATATAGTCTGTAATAATATTTTCTTTCATTAGAATTGTATCTTCTCTTTGTCATCACTTTTGCTTTGGTGCTGGAATTACTTAAGTGTGACTGTTATGTCATAGATTGAAATGACTCTTGTCTAAATATTTGAGGAAAGCTGAAAAATAGTTGCAAAAGGTACCAAATATAAACTTGGTTGTTGCTCCTGCCCCTGTTAAACATTGGGGAAATAATTTCTATATTTCTTCCAGTGCCTTTTCACCTAGAGGGGAAAAACAGACACTGCTCTACTAAAGAGGACAAAATATAAATACTACAACCTAGTCTTGAATTTCAAAAAATCAGTTTATTAAGAAAAATTCACAAAAATGATAGCTTTGCAGAAAAATATTAAAAATAAGTTTTTAATCTTATTTTTCCTTTACATTAAGTTATGAGTTATACTTTTAAAGGCAATGTCTGTGCCCTAGGTACGTAGCTTGAAATTTTATGGAAGTGGCATGGCTAATGACATGGCTTGAAGTAAAAAAGTGGAAATTATTTCTGTAGTGATAGTTAATGCTTTTTTCCTCTGTGAACGTTTAAAAGATTGTTTTTTATTGTAAATTATTGTAAAACAAAATTATATAAAAACACAAAGCTCAGTGAAATTAATAATTGTTTAAATGTGAATATCAATGTAAGAACAGAAATCCAGACATATTAATTATACATGATCTTCAGAAAAGGCATGCCATCCACTCAAATATTGATTGAAACCATTGTTAGATCTTCCATGCATTGTGCTATACAAGTTTTAGGTTTCCCATGTTGTAGAACCAGTCTTTTGGTTTTGAGAAGGGATTTGTTTTGCAATCCATTTATTACACGTAGAACAGGAGTGGATAACTTCTGGCTCTCCAGATGTTTTAGCTTACAGTTCCCATTAGTGCTAGCCATTATAGCCTTCCTGTCCAGTTAGGATTGGTGTAACCTTATGTTGGCCTTTATGATGCCTGTAACTGGTGGGTTGAAACCTATAGTTGGATCACACAACAATTCAAGATGGGTTGTGCCCCATCTCTAATTATCTTTTTGATGGCTTTTTCTTTTGGAGAGGAAAAATTGAAAAATGCAGAAAAGGACGTGCATGTAAAAAGACTACAGGGCAACAGGTTGAAAAAAGCAGATATACAAGGGATGAAATAAAAGTAGGTGGGGAAGAAAACTGGTGGCATATGGGAAAGGGACCCAGCCATAACAACCAAATATGTCCATGTTTAACATTGCTATACACCAGGAATTTTTCAGAAAACAAGCATTGGAACATCAATCCCCTGGTTTGAATGTCATACTGCACTCTGATTAATGTGGCACAGCATGAAATGGGGGGTGCAGAGAGCAGGGGAATAAATGTTCAGCCCGTATACTCATTATCATCTTCCTAAAGCCTGGAACAATTGCCCAGACTGAACCCTATAATCCCCTAAACAACAGTGCAATGACTCATAGGATTGATCCATGAAATGAGTTAGTTTCATGGGTTACTTATTTAAGTCTGCACCTTCTTGACCGAATGTTAGCTGAGTGATATAGTAAGATTATAATGGAGCATTGGCAATGCCATTGTGGATTTGGAGGGCTTTCTCATTATGTAGTCCTCTAGCTTTTACATGAAATCCAGCACGAAGCATTCCATGGATGACCCACATGGCTGGATGACCAGCAACATATATAACTATTTTGTTGGTGGTGGTGGGAAGTGTGTGTGTGCTTGTGCGCATGCAGGTAGGGGATGGGTGGGCTGAATGGCAGTGATTTACAAGGTAGTATTCTAAGTGGACACAGATCTGATCATAAACTGAATAGCAAGCTTATATAGGGATAGGTATCATCATTCATCCTATCTGTTGTTACTTAAAGTCAGACTTATAGAATTCAGTTGCACTTACTCCAGCAAGTGCATAAGATTTATCATTTTTTAAATTAGTAATTTAGTGGACCATAGTTGGTGGCTATAGTCTTATAGATAATACATTGTAAGACATATTTCTTGCTATGCAATAAAGATATGATGATTGTTGATTAAGCATTTCTTTTCCCTCTTCTAGCTTTTCGTTGTAGCTTCCAGTTTCTTGGAAATATTGCAACAGGAAACAAAGATTCCCAGAACAGGATTTGGGAGCTTGCTTTCCCTTCTGTTTTCTTGTAAGCATCACTAAGCATCTTCTTTCTCCACTCAAAATGGATAATATGTGGTTGTATTTACATTTCATTGAGATTGTTTGCTAACACCAAAATGCTTAAGGGGAAAATAATTTGACTCTATTGTCATATGCTTTAAATTTTACATGAATAGGTTGGTTGTACATATTAAGAAAGAGCAACATATTAAAATGTTTAACGTTTCCTATCTGTACCCAAAACTGCATGGCTTAACAGTCCTTATTGTTTGTTTAGTTTAGCAAGTGAGCTTGACTATAATGTTAACAAGTAATGGATAACAAAAAGCCTCCAGAAGCAGTTTCATTAAAAATGAGTTAAAAATTTAGGTTGCTATAGTACATCACTTTACTTGGAAGCCTACCCAACAGAATTAGATTGAGTTTTGAAATATTGTGGAACATAGGTTGTTAATAGGATTGTTGTGCATCCAGCCTAGTATTAATTAATATTACATTAAAGCTGTGTTAATTTTCATAGGAATAAATTAAATTGTAAAGAAAAGATCATAGTTAATTTCTATGATGCACATTTTGCAGCAGGCACCTTAGGCATTGCCTCTTTTGTATGAAAGAAGGAGATTGTTTTTTCTAAGACAGGTTGCATCACACCATGTTTTGGTTATTGTATTAAAAGACTTCATAGTTTAAGAACTTTTCTACTATGCGGGGGGATCCATTCAAATGAGTCAGCCTAACAAATTATCTACCAAATGTTACATCCCAACTTTTAAATCTTAAATATACTGCCCTTAAAATGAGACATCACATTCTGAGAAATTCTTTCACTAGTCCATACCTTACACCCTTCCTTTCTTCAATAAGATGATTGGCTCTCTTAACCTTTGTTCTTTTTTCTTTTCTTTTTTAAAAGAAACTACCTATTGCTTTTAATTCCTTATTGCAGGATTTCTCTGCAGACATTGATGTACAGTGGACAGAATTTTGGGCTTTGAACTGGGAAATCTCAGTTTAAATCTCCATTTGGCCATAAAACTTGTTTGGCCATAAATCTTATGTAGATATAGCCTTGAGCAAGTCTTAGTCTAACCTGCTTTACAAAGCTGTGAGGGTAAGGAAGTGTAAGCTGTGTGAGGGTAAGGAAGCTAGCAGTTATTTGAAAGATGCTGCAAGTATCATCCTGTCATGGTTTAAGCATTTTTTAAATACCCTTCTATGGGAGAATTTATTTAGTTTCATTGAAATGCCTGGAATTTACATTACTATTATTATAACATTAAACTTAAATCTTGACTTTTTTTTCCTTTTGTGAGGAACTCAAGGTGGCTTATATAGTTGTCTTCCACTCCATTTTTATCCCAACAACAACAGCAATCACCCTGTGAGGTGAGCTAGGCTGAAAATTAGTGACTGACCCAAAGACACTCATTGAGCTTCATGGCTACATGAAGACCAGAACCCAGATCTTCCAGGTCCTGAGTCCAACACTAACCAGCATGTCACACTGGCTCCCTACTTCAGAAAGATGTTTTAGAAAATTGGTATAAAATTATACCACATATTAATGCATACTCTGGCAACAACAACAGCTTTTGGCTTAGCATCAGATGAGAAATTTCAAGAGAATCAAGAACATATCAAACTGACTCTAACTTTACTTGCCACAGGTAAAACATGGACACATTATCACAGAACTGTGTGTTATATTTTGCAGACTGAAGGGTTGATTGGGAGAGCTCTCAGAATGAAAGCAAATGGAAAGGAATACTTGCTGACTTTTTAAAAATTCTGTACACTTGGATGTTCAGAATCAACTACTGGTATACTATTGTAAATAGCCCTTAACAATATATTATCCTCCTCTTCTAGGAATTGCTTAAATTATCAGGATGAGAAAATTGTTTCGTATTGCTCTATGGTTCTTTTCACTTGCCTGAACCCTGAAAGAATGATAGAACTGCAAGAAGAAAACAACTTGAATGTTGTCCTTGCTATTCTGCAAGCCTCCAGAAGATACCCTGAATCAGAATGGGTGTATGTATTTTTTAATTTTTTCAAAATTATTGGCAAATGTACTTATTTATATTTCATTTGATAAGAAATGCATCTTACTCTAACTTGTTTTTAGTATAAATATTGTAAGAATATAATACTGATTTAAATTTTGTGACAAGTTATGCCAGGATCTAAAGAACTACATGCCCTGTGGTGCTTCCTAGCATGCTTGTTCTAAGAGTAGCTTTCTCTCAACAAGCCATCTCATAACTTAGTACAATTTCACACTTTTCCCCTCTTGCCTGGAGCTTCTGCTGGGGGAGAAAAGAGAAAATGTGTATCCTTTGTATGTGCATACAAAGGCAGCAGTGGTGAGGTGGGGGTTCCTTGTCCGAAGGGCCTCTTTGATTTAACTAAAACTTCAATTTGCAGTTGCAAAGAAGTATCACAACAAATAATTATTGTTTACTGATTGTTAGATTTTTTTCTTTTTCTTAGTACTTCTCTTGAAAACCTAACGTATTTTTCCGTCTATAAGATACGCCCATGTATAGGATGCCCCCCCACTTTTCCTACTGATCTCCAAGCGAGCAAGCTGCTGCCACGCCCACACGTGCCACCTCACCACCCCCCTGCCCACGCTGCCTCACCCTCCGCACGCGCTGCCTCGCCACCCCCCACTTTTCCTACCAATCGCCGCCTCGCCGCCCCCGCAGTTCTCCTCTTGGCTCCCTGTGTATAAGACGCCCCTCCATTTTTAGGTGAGTGTTTTTAAGAAAAAGTATCGTCTTATACATGGAAAAATACCATAGTAGACTATTCAGATGCAAAGACTAACCATGATTTGGAGCCTGGGACTAGGCTACAGGATTTTATGTTCCCTTTCCTGTCTTTTTCTTGTGTGCAAGTTTCTTAGGGATGTTGTGTAATTGTGGATAAAGCTGGTCTCAGGATTCTGTCTTAGGAATTTAAAATCACTCTTAGTTATTTTCAACAATTGGCATGTAATGCTGAACCTGCATAACTACTTATTGCAGTCACCCTTTATGTTGGCAAGAATGACAGGCTGGATTATCCTGTGCTGTTATGTTACTTGATATTTTGTCTATTGGTATGGTAACTGGGTAAAATTTAATAAGAATAATTTCATTCATAAAACTTTTATTTGCATCTCCTGGAATAGCTTGTACAGTGGGGGACCCACAAAGCATTTGGCGTCTCAAGTGATTAAGTTAAAAATAATGGGCACATACTGCAGTCTTGCAGACTGGAAAAATTCACAACTGAGGAAATAAACTTGTCTTGATTGTGCTACTTCAGTCTGCAGGTGGAGATCGTGTGATAGAATGCAAATCCTAAAAAGGCTAGGTTTTCCTTAGGAAAAGGCTAGGTTTTCAAGCCTTCATAACAGTCTTGGATTGGTTGAAGTTAAATCAACTGAACCCCAGAAGAAGGTTAATCTTAAGAAGTTAGAGCTACCGTAGGTAGTATTTCTGGATACTTAGGTAGCAGCAGTGTCCAGGAATCTTTTGTATGTAAAACAGGTTTTGACTCAGCCATTGATGCTCTATTCAGTCCCTTGTTAGTTGCTGCAGTTGATGTTGAACCAAATCAGGAAGACACCATAGAAGTTTCAGATGATTCAGAATGTGGCCATCACAGGTTTGTTTGGAGCTAGCAAATTGCATCATATTAAACTGATCCATTAGTCAACACATTTTGACTTGGCTTAGTAGACTGGCTTTCCACATTATGTGTGTTGCCCTCAGCCTTTCTTTCGCTTGAGTCTCAGCATACTGCAGAAAATCCAGAGTTAAAATCTGTGACCTTTTGCAGAGCATGAAAGCAGCAGATTGCTGCTGCCGCCTATTGCAAATGTTCAAGGGGAAGAGAGTAATTTACACCTCCATTCTTCTGCATGGGATGGAGGAAAAGGAAAGATGGGTTTCACTCTGGAAATCATGCTTCTGCAAAAAGCAACCACAATATGTAGTCAGAACCAGACATAGCGTGCATGGTAGGGTAAGTTAATGCAAGCTTTTTTTTCCCTAACCCTGAATGCTGTTAAGGAAGGCAAAATCTTGCATGTTTTGGTAAAGTCTTACAATATTTCCCCACATGTTTCCCCAGCTGGTGTGCAGGTGGCTGCTACCTGTTTATTTACTGGGGTCTTGGAGCCAAGCTACACTCTATATGGTAGATAATGCCACTGTATTTCTCAATATAATGTTCTTCTATTACAGGGGTCCTCAAACTTTGTCAACAGGGGGCCAGTTGAAAGGCAGTGGCAGGCGCGGGCCAGCAAGGAGGCAGTGTGTGTGTGTGCGGTGAAGCAGTGGGTGAGGTGGCGGGCGCAGCGAGGTGGCGGGCGCAGCAATTGCGGGCACAGTGGGCCCCAGGCTCACATAATTAAAAGGCAGGCCAGATAAATGGGCATGTCAGGGTGGATAGTTTGAGGACCCATGTTCTATTACAAACAGCTGTATGCGGTAATTTGGATCTGTGAGGGAAAATGTTGCCTGTTCTGCTGCCCTGATTCAGAGAGGCTTCCTAGAAATTCTCTTGTAGAACTGCCATGTAATGTTTAATCAGGTCTTCAGATAATGGAACAAAATTCTCTTTTGTGTCATGGAACATGTGCAGAGACAATCCCAAAGTAGGTCCATTCCTTTATTAACTTGAGGGCTGTTTGTTTTTACTTCTAGATCTCAAAAGCCTTCTACTATTGTTGCTATTGCAGTTACCATAGAACAGTGGTGGCGAACCTATGGCATGTGTGCCACAGCGGGCACGCAGAGCCCTCTCTGTCGGCACGCGAGCCAAGTCACCCCAGCATTGCCACAGCAGCCGAGCATTAGATAACAGCACATATAGAGGTCATGCATATGCTCAGAAAGGAGTAGTGGCACCAGGCAATGATGGCATGAGCCATGACTCATTAGCTGCGACTCATCCAAGCTTTTTCATGGCCGGTCAGTGCGCTGCCAAGGATATATATATATATATATATATATATATATTTGCTTGAACTGGCTGTGAGTTGTTTTTTCTAAACTAAAACCTGTTTTCAGGTTTTATTGTAGTATTGGCACTTTGCGATAAATAAGTGGGTTTTGGGTTGCAGTTTAGGCACTTGGTCTCTAAAAGGTTCACCATCACTGCCATAGAATATTCACACAATAGTAACTATAGCTATTTCCTAGCTAACCTACTATTTATTTATTTATAATTTATTTAACAAGTTTATATACTGTTCACAGCTAATGAGCTTTTCAAATGGTTTACAATGTGTATGCATAATTAAAATACAATGCAATTTTAAGTCCGCAGAAGCTGTACACATGGGCTCTTCCTTCATAATCCATCACCTCCTCAGCTGCACTGTGCATTTATTTCCCATCTAGTCAAATAAATGCTAGACTGGGTCTGGAGAAGTCCTCATTTTATATTATTGCTCAGATATGACACTTAGCCTTGACTTGTGCTGTTTCACAGTGTCAATCTATGTCACAGGATTGAAATTGCTGTTCTTCATTCTGGTCTCGCTGTTAGGTTAAAATGTGATAATTTGAGGGTGTGACTCCAATATTATTCCATCTTCATTGGTTACCTGTTGAGCTCTGAGCCAAATTTAAGGTGCTTGTTTTAATATATAAAGCCCTAAATGGCTTGGGCCCAGTGTACCTGAAGGACGGAGTGCTCCCATATGTACCTACCCAGCCTCTATGATCAGTCTCAGAGCCATCCTCCAAGGACTTTAGGAGGCTAGTAAAAAAGGGGTCTGCCTCACTAGTTGCACTCTACCGGTGGAACAGCCTCCTGAAAGCAGTTTGCATGGTGCCCTTGTTACAATCTTTTAAGTGCCAGGCAAAAACAACTTTATTTTCTAGGTATTTTAATAATTGATTTTATCTTGAAAATGTTGTGACATTGTTGTTTTAATTTATATAGTTTTAAATTATTATCCCTCAGCTGTGTACTGTTTGTTTTATTGTCTTTTGTTATTGTTGTGTGTTTTAATTGATTGCTTTTATTATTATGGTGTGTTATTATTTCATTGTAATCAGCTTAGAGGATCCTTGGGCCAATACAGCAGAATATGATTTTAACAATCAATAAAGTTGGGGAGGACTGATGTCAAAACTGGGAAGTCGCTTTCTGTTGACCACTCACTTCAGTCAGCATTGAGAGTACATGAAGAAAAACATGAGATAAATGGGAGTACTTAAATTACCAATGCCCCAAGCTGTTTGGGGCCTTAAAGAGCCAGTACCATGTATTGAGGCTGGAAACTAATAGGTAGCCACTGAAGATTTTTGGAGGCATATGGTCTTAATCCATCCCACCTCACAGAGTTATTGTTGTGAGGATGAGGTTATGTAAGCCACTTTGGATTTCTTGAAAGAGAAAAAAGATAGAATATTGTCTTGTATTGTATTAACAATTCAGGTTAGTTTCCTTAGAGTTTGGATGGATTAACACAACATGGTTTCTACCATGATGTTAAGATGGACTGTCATGTCATTTGAATCTTGTCATGGCAGTTCAGAATAGAACATTTGATTTTTCAAAACCATGATAAGAAACAACAGTACATTCTGTGGTTTTATTGCTTCACCATGATTTCTCTGGTGTCTGAATCTGGTATTGTGGCTTCTATGGTCTTAGTATGTGGCTAAAACAAAGCATCCTGGATAAAGAGTCTAGCTATTCAGCATGGGATTGAATTTCAATCAAAGTGGTTGATGGCATACAGACCAACAGTGGGAAGGCTGAAGAGGGTAGAAACCATGCTAGGCACATCTGAGGAAAAATATCATGGAAAGCACACAGGGTTGCTTTTATGACTTGTGAACCCTGCCATTGTCTGACCTTGCCGATAAGAGCATGATACCTGCATGAATTTTAAAAGATCTCATCCTTCCAGTTTATGAGGTGGCAACACTGGATTAGGGTTGTGAAGTAGTTACTGAGAAAAGTGGTTCTTTGACTTTTGGCTGTAAGTGTCTGCTCCAATATAAGGATCAGCTGCAAAGAGT